TTTAAGCCTGAGTCAGAGAAACCAGAGGCCATGCCCTCCGTGGGGGAAGACGTGACCAGCCCTGTGGCCCACCCTTTGGAAGGGGATTCAGCAGAGGGAATGCCGGAGGAGACTGTGAAGGAGGTCCCAGAGGCCCTTGTGGAAAGGGTCAGGGAGACCAGCCCCGTGGAGCGCCGGGAGGAGGCAGGGCCCTGCAGTCGCCCCACGGCCTTCACGATCCCTAAGCTGCAGCTGGACAGCACCTTCAGCCAGGGCACGGCAGGCATCGCCACTCTGGAACTGGAAAGCCCAGAGGATCAGGAGGAGGAAGAAGAGGAAGATGAGGAGGAGGAGGAGGAGGAAGAGGAAGATGACGAGGACTACTTGTGCAGGGGCGACACGAAGCGCTCCAGCATGATTGACACCTTGGAGTGTGAGGCGGCCTGCCGCCTCAGCGTGCAGAACTCCTTGCGGCGACGCACCCACAGCGAAGGCAGCCTCCTCCACGAGTCCCGGGGTGGCCACTGCTTCAGCTCCGACACCAGCCTGAATTACGCCGAGGCCCAGAGCCCCACTGCCGGCTGGACAATGCCGTCCCCCAAGACGCTCAAAAAGGAGCTCACGGGGAACGGGAGCTCCATTCACCACTTCGGCCTGCTCTTTTCCGGGCACCGGAAGGTATGCGAACCGGGTGGCCTGCGGGGAGGGGGCTGGAGGGGCTCAAAAACTCCCAGGTGGGCTACGGGGTTTGGCGCTGGTCCTGGAACAGGGAGGGCTCAGCCTAGCAAACCGGGAGGTTTGGCAACCCTAGGTTTTACCAACAGCAGTTTCCTCCCCACGCTGTAAGTGAAGGAGCAGACAACAAACACCCAGTTCCATTTGGCTGAAAGCCTCTTTATTAACTGTAGGGCCGGTAACTTGGCTATTGGGATGAGGAATAACAAGACTTAAAAGCTGTTTCCAGAGCTCTAGGCCGGGGTTGTCCTGGCATGGTTCTGCAGATTCTTAGTAGGCCCGGCACTCCTCCTGCTTGGTCTGGGGGCTACTGGGATAGCCTCTTAAAGAGGTAGTGCACAACAGGGGAAGTATTCGTGAGCTCTTGGGGGAGGAGGGAAGCCCACTGGCCCTGGAGACTGTGGTCCCAAGGTTCTGGGGTAGGAGCAGAGGTTATCTTCTGGCTCAAATCTGGGAGAGCAGTAGAGGCTGACAGAATGAAGGCCAAAGTACACATTCAGGGCTTCGATGAGTTGGGTACGCGTTCCCCAGACCCAGCTTGGGTTCCCCACAGCCGCACCACACCTCCAGGGAATGACTTTTTAAAAAGAAAGGAGAGGTCAAATGGGCTTGGAATGCCTACCCCCCCCCTCAGCATGGAAATGGCACTTGGGGGGTGTTATTTCCCTGTCTTTGCTGCTCCACATACACATAATACTCCACGCGGAGCAGCAAAAATTGGAAAATGGCTTGGAGGGAGGGAGGAGCCCCTCCTTCCCATGGCATCATTCTGAGCCTATTTGGGCTGTCCTTTATTTTTTCAGTTCCCTTCCACGCAGCTGGGCCATGTAGTTTGGGCCTGCGCTGTTATATGGGAAGTTCCTGGTGCAAATGTTGCCTCTGCCACAAACTTACTATGTGAGTTTAGGCAAGCCCATCTCTCTTGCTTTTTTCCATCTGCAATGTGAGGGTAACAATGTAGGCCTATGTTACTGGGCGGTTGTCAAGCTGACTGTGGTTATGTATGTGGAGCATTTTCAACGCAGAGAGTACTGTATGCACGTTAGATATTATTGTGGGACTCTGATGAGCCAGCCCTGTACTGCAAAACTTGATTTTGGCTCAGGCAGGATGACATGTTTCTCCTTGCAGTGGTTATTATTGTTGTTGTTGTTGTATGGCATTGTGTGTAGAATGGCCAAGAGATCCTAAGATTGTCTGGCAGCTGGAAGTTCTAGCTCTTTAGCATTATGTACCACTAGGTGGTGAGCTAGACTTGCTTTTAAGGCAAGAGATTTTTCAGAGGTGGTTTGCCATTGCCTGCCTCTGCGTCATGACCCTGGTATTCCTTGGAAGCCGCCCTTCCAAATACTAGCCAAGGCCGACCCTGCTTAGCTTCTGAGATCTGACGGGATCGAGAAGCTTTGGGGCTTCAGTCTTTTTAGACAGCTGTCCTTCTGACCTTCATGTTCATAGGCACTCTGAGCTGTGTGTATCCTATAATTCTGCACAAATGCTGAAAAACTAGCAATTTTGTTGTTGGGCTCAGAATTAGGACTCCCAAGAATCTCCTTTTTTAGGCTTTTGTTTTTGTTTAAAGTAATTTTCTAGCCCTTCAGGTTTTGAATCTAGGATTGAATGTACCTCTCAGATGCATTCCCTGTCCTGGAAAAGCCAGAAGAGGACAAGGTTACATATTTCCTTAATCTAATCCTTGAAGTGCCTGTGCCATGTCTATCTTTGGGCCTGCATGCCTTCTGTGCACCCCGGTTCAGAAACATCAGCTTTGTCCGCCAGGAGCCTGATAAATCAGGCTGTGAACCAAATATAACATCCCAAGGATGGGGAGCTGAGGATTAGTCCTTCCTGGAACCTCTCCTTTTGAAGCTGAAAACTCCTCTAATCCCAGATGTGCACATGTATTGCAATTACTTAGCAGTGATGAAAAGGTACTCTGCACATACTCTGGAGCACTCCGGGTTAAAAGCTGCATTAAAAACATTCTGGGGTTAAAACCTAGGAAGGCCTGATTCAACTAAATCAATTAAACCCTGCAGTGGATTCTTTCCACAGTAAGTGTCCAAAGGGTTCCTGCCTTAGAGAGGAGGCAACATATAAAATAAGTTTGTCATTGGGCATGCTTAGGTATTACTGTACATATATCAAAGGTACACAGAGCTTTTTGTCATTCTCCCTGATGAAGAGTTATGTGAGACCTGGAAGTTTCTGTTCATAAGCAGGGGCAATAAAATGTATTACATGACCAACTCTATGCCTCCCATCCTTTACCTTCTCATCTTCTCTAATGAATAGAAGCATTTCTGTGGCGCTTTCAATGCTCTCCTTTTAACTGTAAGGTAGGCCAATGTTATCACCATATTGTAGAGGGGTGGCCGAGGCTGACGGCGAATGGCCATGGAGTGAATTTGTGCCAAATAATAATAAACCGTGATAGCCTTACTACTCACCAGTACTTACAAATAAATTTTATATATTTTTAAATGGATAGTGCAATACATATAACATGTGCAATACAATCTTTGTTTTCAAAGCCTTAGGAGGATTCATCAGTAGGAACATAGTCCTTATATACTGATGAATGTTCCTAAGGCTTTGAAAACAAAGATTCTATCTATGAAAAGTATTTATAATTTTCACATATTAATATGTATTGCACTGTCCATTTAAAATATATAAAATGTATTTGTAAGTACTGGTGATTCTTGAGGCTATCATGGCTTCTTACTATTTGGCGCAGATGATTCCATGATGGTCTCTCTCTCTGTTTGTTGTATGGAGTGAATTTGTGGCAGAGATTTGAGCAGATCACACAACTCATTCTCTGATCCGCTATGCTGCATCACCTCTGAAAGGACGAATGCATTTTGTACTCTGCCTCTGAGCCCACATCCCACCCTGAGCTGCCCATACTTCTTGGCTGGTTTCCCCGCTTCCACCCTGGAGCCAGCCATTTCCTCTAGTTCCGGCTGGCTGTTTAATGTGCAGCCCCACCTTTCAGAGCGGAGAGTCTCCATGACTCCAGGGCCTCTGTTCTTGGGAGGCAGGCCATAACCCTTCCCTTCAGCATGTGATCTTGCCCGGAACTCTCCCCGACTCCCAGTTCTTGTGTTCTGCCCTGAAGATGAGAAGGTTCTTTAATTCTGAGTCACTTTGAGGTGCATCCAATAGAAGAGCGGGAAACAAGCAAATGGCTTTCAGGAGGAGGATTATGGCTGAAATTCCACAGGTACAGCTTCCCAGCACGGAGGTGCAGAAACAAACAATATTTACATGTTACATTTCTGCCTCTCGGCCTCCTCTTAAAAGTACAAAAGGTCTGCAGGGGCAGGCAGGAAATAAAAACAGCCAATTATAACAATAAGCGTTTTTCTGTTTTTCACCACCTCCCTTTCATTTCATCTTGCAATGAGGGTCTACAGAACTGAATGTACCACATTTTTGCATGTCTTTCCACATAGTGGCAAAAGCACCAGCTTCTCCTGACAATCTCAGGGGTCATTAAGAAATGAGAGCCAGTTTGGTGTAGTGGTTAAGTGCACAGACTCTAATCTGAGAGAACCGAGTTTGATTCCCCACTCCTCCACATGCAGCTGCTAGATGACCTTGGGCAAGCCATAGTTCTGTCAGAGCTGTTGTTGAAAGAGCAGCCCTGGAAAGAGCTCTCTCAGCCTCACCTACCTCACAGGGTGTCTGTTGTGGGGAGGGGAAGGGAAAGGAGTTTGTAAGCCGCTCTGAGACTCCGAGTGAAGGGCGGGGTATAAATCCAACCTCTTCTTCTTCTCTTCTAAACCTAAGTGGTGGTCCTGTTCCTGCTACAAATGTGGGTTGGATTTGGGGTGGCTCCAAGGTACTATGAGCTAGCGCAACACTACAACTTCTGGCAGGTCTATCTACTGATACTCAGCCTTGGCTGGAGCTCTTGCCCGGAAATTCACATGCATCTAAACCAATTAGCTGCAGGAAGCCAAGCTGAGACTGGCCAGCCCCTGGTGCATTCCCTGTTTGCAAATGGAGCTCAGACAATGTGCCATCTGAACACATTTCCTCCCCCCCACCCTGTGACCCTCCCACAGGGTACTAGAAGTGCATTTCTGCCCTCTAGTGGAGGCAGAGGACTTGACAGCTGGTGAAGGCAGAGAAATAAATAGTGTGTGCAATTCAAGCCTGATTTACACAGCTAGACTGATGGTTGAGGAGAAGAAGGCCATGGTTGACTGACTAGTGGCTATTCCCCCCCAGTCTGGACATTACTGTTGGGGGGGGGGGTTGTCTGAATCATTTGTCATGAGCACAAGTTGCTCAGCCAACATAATATTGGCACTGTGAGGGTTTTCTCACCTGAACTGACCTTGCAGTCCCCTCACGAAAGCTATACTACTTATTAACTTTCTGTTGCCAGCGTCTTCCGTCAGAATGTTTGTTTGCGTTCTCTAACATTGCAACAACACAATCAGTGACTGGGCTGTGAGCACAGTGAAATACAACAGCTATCATAGCCAGTTTTACAAGACAGCTGTTTTGTCAAGTCTGTCGCTCTATTAAACCATGTGGCCCGTTATAATCCTTTGCAGAGGTCAGCTGCTATGGCTACCTTTTTTACAGAACGGTCTTCCTGCAAGTTCTTAACTGGGTTGGGATTTTTACTAAGGCAGAGTGCAGTGCTGTACAGGGAGATGACGGGGGGAGAGCACATTTTCCCAGTTTGGGTGGAATGGCCTTGAACACGATCCATTCTGAGCTGTTTGGATTGTTGGGGTGTTCACCTTTTAAACCATTCTTGCTCCTGTGCTTTTAATTGCAGCTTGACATACAGAAATGAAGCCGCCAATGCTTTTTTCTGGCATGGAGATGAAGTCACAAGTGCGCGCACACATTAAAGGAAAAGCAGCAGGGCAAGTGATAACATAAAAGGTAAAGGTAAAGGTTCCCTTGCTCAAAAGCCAGTCAAGTCCGACTCTAGGGTTGCAGTGCTCATCTCCGTTTCAAAGCCGAAGAGCCAGCGCTGTCCGAAGACGTTTCCGTGGTCATGTGGCCGGCATGACTAAACACCAAGGCGCAAGGAACAAGCTGTTACCTTCCCACCGAAGTGGTACCTATTTATCTACTTGCAATTTCTTGCTTTCGAACTGCTAGGTTGGCAGGAGCTGGAACTAGAGACGGGAGCTCACTCCGTCATGCGGCACACTCGGATCTCGAACTGCTGAACTACTGACCTTCCACAGCCTGCAGTTCAGCATCTTAACCACTTGAGCCACCGCAGCTCAACATACGATAACATACGGCAGTGCTATTGATTGCAAGCCAGTGAGGGGGAAGGACAGATAAAGAACTTGTTGAAAAACACAGGGACTGCTGGCTTGTGTTGGCCACATTGTGCGGCTCTACTGTCCACTCTTCTTTTTTTTTTTTTTTTAAAAAAGGAAGCCTCATTTTTTGCTTGTAGATCTGCTTCCCAACTACCACTTCTTAAAGTATTTGTGGGTGTGTGGGGGGGGTTGACTGCCCCCTCAGCAGCCATTTTTAGAATGGCTTTGGACTTTCCAGAGCCAGGTTATGGTTTAAAAGGTAAATGTACAGCTGACTCACGGCCACCTCTTGAAGGTCCACCTCATGCTGTTTCTGAGTCAAGAGATGAGCAAAGGTTGTTTGCCATTGCCTTCCTACGCATAGCAGCCCCTGTCTTCTTTCCCATTTCAGTATCAACCCTGCATAGATTCCAAGCTCTGATGATACCAGGCTAGTCTGGGTAATCTTTAATAATAAATTGCCTCTGCAAAGCATCACAATGTTTTATTGCTCTTTCACCTGGGTTGCTTGAAAGGAGCAGTTTGGACAAGACTTAATTTCTTCTGCCTTCCTTGGCATGAAGAACTGGACAGAGTTCTGCCCTGCCCTGGATAGCCCAGGAAAGCCCGATCTTGTCAGATCTCAGAAGCTAAGCAGGGTTGACTCTGGCAAGTGCTTGGATGGGAGGCCTCCTTGGAATACCAGCAGTCAGGAGGACAGGGACGACAGGCCTTATTCAGCCACTGGTCTGAATATCCTCCAGGCCCCCAGTAGGGGCTAGTCACCAGAAGTCGCTATGACTTTCAGGTGCACACCCAGTCAGTCACTAGAGGTTGCCATGACTTCCAGGTGCACACACATGCACACACACATATGAAAAATTCCAAAAAAAAGAGAGAACTGGACAGAGTTCTCTTTTCCAAGGCAGTGTCCTCCATACATCTGTACTCAATGCAAGCACTTATGTGAAACCCACCCCTGTATGCGGGCATTGCATCTTGGCTAAGAACATGAACAAAGAGATGCCCCAGACTGGCTTTTGCCTCTGCCCCAAACTTACTTAGTGGCTTTAGGCAACCACTCTTTCTCAGCCTCATTTCCTCCTGTCATCAATAATGAGATAAATAATTCTGGCCTTAACAGGTTTATTGTATGGATCAATGAAGCGCTTTGAAAACTTGAGTGCTGTGTAAACGCTAATTGTTCTTACTGCTTTACTTCTCAGCATCACGAGGCAAGCAAAATGAACACCAGGAGTAATTCACAAAGGGCTAGAAACCTGATTTTAAAAAAAACAAAAACAAAACACTTCACTTCCTAGACTCCCAGAGCTCGGTGGGCAGTGCCAGTTTGTGCCCTTGTGGAATGAGATTGTGGACAACACTCAGCATCGTTTCTGTGCTCTCAGCATGCCTGTCATACCAGCCTGCATCCACCCAAATAACCACAGAACTGGAAGAGACCCAAAAAGCCACCTGGCTCTCTCCATGTCCAAAAGTCAGGCCCGTCCGTCAGCCAGCTTCACCTTATCAATCAGTGCAATCCAGAGCGAAACAAAACATGCTCAGAGAGCTATACGGCCTTGTACAAACACACAGCAGTCTTCCTTCCTTGACCGGGATGGGTTGTTCCCTCTCTCTACCCATTCCAGCAGGATCATGTGTTTGTATGTGTGGCACTCATCTGCTCTCTGCCTTTTGTCTCTGCATGGAAGCAGAGTGGGGGGTTTTCCCCCACCAACAATGGGAGGAAATGTGTTTGGGGCTGGCTGGAAGTGCCTGGTGCACACAGAATGCATGGAGATATATCTGCCTGGGAAGGCGGCCGCCTCTGCGATAAACTCCGGAAGCCTCACCTAGTGGGGAAGGAAGCTCAAGAAAGCTCGGGGCCTGGGGTTTTGGCTGGGGAGCCGGTTCCCACGGCTGGGTCTGCAGGAGTAGGGAGCAGAAATGAACAGCGTGTTCATGTGTGAGGATTCTCAAGCAAAATCCTCTTCAACTGCTTACAACAGCTGGAACACATGCACTCCCAAGGCTTTGATGTTATGCACAACTGTAGGAGAATGAGCACTTTGGGACACAATAGGGCTTGCTTGCTAGTAATCCAAGCCCCAAGGCTTGTTGGGTGGTCTTCAGCCAATCATTCCCTCACAGCTCAAACTACCTTGCTAGGTTGTTGTGAGCCCAAGGGAGAGGGCGGGGCATGCCAGCCTGCGCTCTATGGAGGAAGGGCAGGATAAAAATGAAATGAAATACAATTAAAACGTACGTGCATCGTCTGAGGCTGCATAGCATTATGTATGAAGTGAGGATGGATGCTCCTGAGGAGGTCCAAAGTGCATTTGTCAGTTAGCCTTGCGCTTGGGTTTAAGAGCTGTTGGAAAACATAGAAATCCTGAATTTTGAAAGCTGAAACTTTATTATCTTAAAATCTAATAACTGGGTTTTACTCTTTTTTTTAGATTTGGGTCCTATTTTCATAGTGTCCGAGTTGCTTTACAAAATTAAGAATAAAGACAGTTGTTAAAAATAATAACTGAAAGGCTGCATTGAGTTTTATACTAATATAAGCTAGGAATTGCAAGACTATTTTTTAACAAGCTATCTTGCCATTTTTCTTTTGCCTTTTCATCTAGCAAGCTCAGCTCTTGCAAAGCACGAGCCCCATTGTCACCAGGTATTGAATTTCCAGCATTTAATATGATTAGCCTAGTTTTTTAATGCTCTTATATGCTATGGTCCTGAGGGGCATGTGCACATATGTACATAATGAACAATAACTAAGACACATATTCTTCTCTCCCCGCCACCCACAGCAGCAGCATATGCTGGATCCTGGTTGTGTCTGTGCCCAAGAAGCCATGGCTGTCTGCAAAAGGATGAACAAGAACCTGTAAGTATGAGGCCTGATAATCCCAGTTACCAGCAGTGGGCCCTAAGCGTGGTTCTCTGTGCCTAAGTCCTAGCGCTTCACATGCTGAGACAGAATGCAGTTTTGTGGCCACACCCTTATGGCTGGAGAGCCGGGGGCTTGCTGAATTCCAGCTGACAATGGAAAGGGACTTCTTCTGTTTATCTTTCCTGCTATCTGATCACATTTTTATCCTTTCCTTCCTCCACGGAGCTCAGTGGCTTGTGATTCTCCACCATCGTGACTCAGTGGTGGAGTATCTGCTGGGGATGTAGCAGGTTCCAGGTCCAATCCCTGGCATCCCCAGTTAAAAGCATCAGGCAGTGGGTGATGCAAAGGACCTCTGCCCGAGACCAGGGGAAACCTCCCATCAGTCAGAGTGGACAAGACTGACCTTGATGAACCAATGGTCTGACTCTGTACAAGGCAGTTCCATGTGTTCACTCAGCACAATCTTCCCTGTGAGAAAGTGAGCAACTCGCCTACAGTGGAATCGTGAGCAGTTACTCCCCCCCCCCCAGTTCATTGAAATCAATGGGCCATAAAGGATATGATTCTGTCTAGGGCTGTACTGCTATTGAGTTTCGAGGTAGTATGGAAACACTCTAACCCAGGAGTTTCCAACATAGTGCCCACCGACACCTTTCCTGGCTCCTATTTTTAGAAAGTGGGCAGGGCCAGATAGAGCTTTCACCCAGCAGGCCTTGCGATTGGCCACTGGACAGTAGAGATTTTTTTAAAAGTTGCTTTGACAGCCACTGCCACCACAGCACAGGGATCTTCACTGCGTGGCTGAAGGTAAGTTCTGTCTATGCCAGGAAATATTTTAAAATAATATGTTCGTTTTAAAAGGCACCCTGTTAAACAGAGCTTCTGCCTGAAATGCTGAAGAATTGCTACTTGAGTTACTCATGACTTCACTCCCTGACATTTTGTGGTTGCGCCAGCCACTCTCGGTCAGAATTACAAAGGTGCCAGCTCAAAAAGGTTGGGGACCCCTGGCCTGGCCAGTAGCGCTGACCGGCTTGCAGTTCGTATTATTCCAGGCAGGGTTTTTTTCTTTTTCTTTTTTTGGAAAAAGAGGTGCCGGACCTCCCAAGAGGGAAATGAAGTTTTCAGTCTGTATACTGAAAACTCGTCAAAGAGGTTCCGGAACTCCGTTCTGGCGTGTTCCCCCAGAAAAAAAGTCCTGGACTGTGAGTGTAAACTGGCCAGATTTATTGGTGAGGGGAATGCCCTCTGCAAGTGTTAAGACGTTCTCTTTGTTGTTTCATTTCCCCCCAGCTGTGATCCTCTGTTTATAGGCAGTGCTTACATGCTGCTAAGGGAATTCTGTGTGTGCTCAGAGGTGCTGCTTCCTTGCAGTGTACTTATTACTTTACGTATCCACCTGCCCCTTTCCCCCTTGCTACTCCTGATTAACCTGCACCATCCAGACCAGATGCATCAGGGAAAGGTCCTTTTTTTCTCTTGCTATCAAGTCGCAGCTGACTTATGGTGACCCTGTGTAGGGTTTTGAAGGCAAGAGCCGTTCAGAGGTGGTTTGCCATGGCCTGCCTCTCCACAGCAACCCTGGAATGCCTTGGAGGTCTCCCATCCAAATACTAGCCAGGGCCGACCCTGCTTAGCTTCTGGGATCTGATGAGATCAGGCTAGCCTGGGTTATCCAGGTCAGGGAACGGAAAGGTCCTTAAAGGATAATATTACTAGTGCAAATGAGCCAAGCTATAGGGGGAAGGCCACATACTAGGGTTGCCAGACCCCCGGACTGGGCGGGGGTTCCCCTGATTTTTGGGGATTCAGGAGGGATGCCCCGCCCCCAAACAGCCTCCTCGTGCGGCAACGTCGCTGATGTGATGATGTCACACGTGGCGATGCTCTAGCATTTTGGACAAATGATAGGTGTCACCGTGCAATGTCCCTGGCATGGTCATGTCACTTCCGTGAGATGTCATTGTGTTGGTGACATTGCCCCACCCACCCCACTCCCACAAAAGCTCCCTCCCATCCCCCGCCGGCAGGGCAAGTCGACCTGGCAAACCCTACCACAAACATGTACAACATCACAGCCACTGGCAATCTCCTCTGGTTAGTGACCTTCTCAGAATGCTACCCTCCTCTGTAGTTTTCTGAGAGAGGGCGTGTAAATCCAGAAAAAAATATTATGTGTGTGCAGTCGGGGAGAATTCCCTTCATCTCTGTATAACTAAGGGTTCTTTAAATTGTTAAAAACATGTATACTCATTCCTTTCCTTTCATGTGCAATTAACATAATGCTGCCTTTAAGTGTGTATACTTAGCATATGCTCAAAGCCACTATCTTCCTGTTGCCCTTAAAGATAAACCAGCTACCAAAGCCTTCTTACCTCAGCAGGGAAAAGGTGCTCTTTGAATGACCAAAGGCACTTAAGAGGGCTCAGAAGCTATCAGCCGAAGCTACCATTGGTGCAGTGGTTAAGTGTGCGGACTCTAATCTGGGAGAACCTGGTTTGATTCCCCACTCCTCCACTTGCACCTGGCTGGATGACCTTGGGCAAGCCATAACTCTGGCACTGCTGTTCTTGAAAAAGAGCAGTGTCTGTCAAGAGTTCTCTCAGCCCCACCTACCTACCTACCTCACAGGGTGTCTGTTGTGGGGAGGGGAAGGGAAAGGAGTTTGTAAGCCGCTCTGAGACACCTTTGGGTAGTGAAGGGTGGGGTATAAATCCAATCTCTTCTTCTTCTCTTCTTCTGAATGCAAAAGAGGCAAGACTAGTGAACAGGCAAAGGAGCCCCTAGGACTGCCAACCCTGGCTTGGGGAGGGCAGTATATAATGCCCCACAGTCCACCCTCCAAAGTGGCCATTTTCTCCAGGGGTAACTGATCTCGGTCGTCTGGAGATTAGTTGGAAGTCCGGGAGATCTCCAGGCCCCGCCTGGCCAACCCTATGACTCCCGACTCCCCCTGGCACTTTCCTTCTTACTTGCCAGCAGGTCTTTGGGCTTGCTCCAACACGCAGGATTGCCCTCTCTTCAGGCCAACAGCCTTTCCTTCACAACAGTCGGAACCCCCCCTAAACCAATTTCCTGTTTCTCTTCTGTTACACTGTACCAAAAGGGACAGAAAAAAATCCCTAGATTCTCGCGCTTGGGGAAGAAGAGGGCATCGGCGCGGCTTCGCAGTGTGCCTCTGGGCATGTGCTGCGAGGACTGAGCTTGCCCGGTGTAGCTGTCGGTCGGGAAACTTTTTTAACAGCTTCCGCCGTAAGAGGCGCTTCTTGACCGTATGGGTGTGCAGCTGTTGTGGCAGGGCCGGGCCGCGAGGTGCCGCTGTCTCCACGCTTCTCTGCGTTTGGGAGGGGAGGGGAGGCTGCGGTTGCCTACAGCTGCGCTATTAAGGCTGCAGCAACAAGGATGGTCAGTTGTCAGAGTCCGGTGTCTGTGGCGTAACTTTGCGTTTTGCATGTGTGAACAGGAGAGTGTCTTTGCCTGCCGCTTAAGACGGAGGATTCTGGTGGGTTTTGTATTCCCCCTCAGTCTCCAGTAGCTGTAGCATACTCAGAAACTGCCTCCCTAAGATGCATCCCGCTGTCCGGGGCGTTTCGGAGTGGTACCTGGCCAGGTAAGGTTAGTCCCCCCCCCCCGGGGAGCCGGTGGGCTCCATACCAGTCTCCCACAAAGCAGCCGGCTCTTTGTGTCTGCATTCTTTGGGGAAGTTCTTTCGGTCGGTGCCGTGTGCTTTGAGCGTGTGGACGAGAAACCTCTTTCCCCAATCCAGCGCGTTTCCGTGGCTACTCAGCTGCCGAGAGACAGCAGCCTGTTATGTGCCAGGGGCGCTTTGTGATATTTGGCGCTGGGCTGTGGGGGCTGAAGCCACCGGAGAGTTTCATTCTCTCCTGTGTTTGCGCTGCAATTAAACTCTTGTTTCTCCTCCCCTGAATATATATTCTTTTATACGCGGGAGAGAGTACACGGGGTGAGAAGAGAAAGTAGGTGTTTCCTTTGAAAATAATTCTATGAAGGCCAATTGATCCAATTCTGTGTTCCGGGAACTGGGAGGACGGCAGGAGGTCTGCTGCTTTGGAGGGGAAGCCTTGAGGGGCGGGGGTGGGATGGGGGGACAGCCGCGATGACTCCTTCACTGCCTGGGTCCTTGGCTTCCTTTTAGGAATACACGGCAGGACGGGTGAATAGTTCACATGACAGCATTGGAAGAATACTGAAGTGTGGGGGTGGTGTCCCCATGCAAAATTCGACACTCACATATACCAAGCTTTGGGGGCTGCTAGGCTGGCAACCAGAACGTTGTGTGAGGTTTGCCTAATAAACTCTGTCCTTGGGATGTGTCACTTAGGAACGGGCTTATCTATGATGGAAGGTGCTGCCACGAGGCAATAGATAAATTTGCAAAATAAGTAACAATGGAGGAGGGAGTAGTAAGTATTCTGCTGATTGTCTGGGGCATATTTATTTGTTGGGGAGGGGGAGAACTGTCTTCCAGCCTGCAGCATCTAGCTTTGATCACTTGCTTGAGTAACCTTTAGTGCAGGTACCTTCTCTTGTTTGTGGCCAGGAGTGGGTGGTGGGTGGGAGATGCTTCTCCATTTGGAAGACAGACAGATTGGACCGAATGGCCTTTATGTTCCCTGCAGCAGTTTCTAATAAACAGACAGGTTGTGTTTGATTTATACGATGCTCGGTGCTGTACAAACATTTCAGCCAAAAAAAGAGATGTGTTCTTGCTCTCAGGCTCGCAAGGTTGACTGGTGTAGTTTTTAAGAGTTTATTGTTGAATGGAGTTTTGGCTTTTTTGCCTCACCCTTTTAGACCTGAAGGGTATCATGACGTAGTAATTAACAACAGCACATTTTCTGTATAGGTAGAAAGTACCATCAAGTCACAGCTGGCTTATGGCGACCTCTACTGGACCATGTTAGTCTGTCTGTAGCAATACAAAAAACAATACAAAGGAACTGCGGTGGCTCAAGTGGTTAAGACGCTGAACTGCAGGCTGTGGGAGGTCAGTAATTCAGCAGTTTGAGACCCGGGGGCCGCATGATGGAGTGAGCTCCCATCTCTAGTTCCAGCTCCTGCCAACCTAGCAGTTCGAAAGCAAGAAACTGCAAGTAGATAAATAGGTACCACTTTGGTGGGAAGGGAACAGTGTTCTGTGCGCCTTGGTGTTTAGTCATGCCGGCCACATGACCACGGAAACGTCTTCGGACAGCGCTGGCTCTTTGGCTTTGAAACGGAGATGAGCACCACAACCCTAGAGTCAGATTCGACTGGCTTTCAAGCAAGGGAGCCTTTCCCTTTTTAGCAATACAAAAGAGCAAGAGTCCAGTAGCACCTTAAAGGCTAACAGAATACGTGGCAGGGGATAAGCTTTCATGAGTCACCGTTCACTTCTTCAGGTACTTCGGGTATCTGAAGGAAGTGAGCAGTGACTCACTAAAGCTCATGCCCAGCTACATATTTTGTAGACTTTAAGGTGTTTTGTCTTCCTACACTGCTCTTTTGTACTCCTACTGGAGATGGTTTGACATTGCTTGTCTCTGTGTAGAGAGACCCTGGAATTCCTCGGTGGTCTCCCATCCAAACACTACCTAGGGCTAACCATGCTCAGCTTCTGAGATCTCATTTCGAGCTAGCCTGGGCTATCCCGGTAAAGGCATATTTTCCATACGCCGGGCAATAAAACTAGAAAAGAGAGTACAGTGTAGTGGTTAGAGTGTGTCACACTTGAAGACTGATGTGCAATAATTGTTGAACCCTGAAGTCGGGCCAATCTCTCAAACTCAGCCTTATCCTACTTTGCAGGAGGGTTGTGAAGCTAGGATAGCCTCATATACGGCTGGTAGATGGGGAAGAATGTGTTCCCACCTTTGGAGGAGGTGCTGCATATGAAAAGCCAGTTAATTAAATGTGGACTCTTCGCATAGCTTCACCTGTAGAGTTTCTACACCTTGCACATCAGAAAACTGAAATGGCTGGGAAGGTCTCAGACCGCTCTGTTTCCTGGTTCATTAAGATTTGGAGAAGGACATTTTTTTCTGCCTGAGAGTTGTGGCTGTGAATACGGGGCTACATGGGCCACTGGTCAGTGTCTAAGGGCACAAAAGCCCTGCTGGGGAAGAGAAATTTACAACTGGGTAGAGATCCCAAGCAGTGGCGGTGTGATACTTGGTGTGCTGGCCAGGGACCACCAGGGAAACCCAGTTCGGATCCCCACTTGCCATGAAGTGGTGGGTTGCTCAAGGCCAGCCTGCCTTACAAGATCCAGGTAGGCCGCTTTGAGCACCTTGGAGGAAGGACAGGATTAAAACGCGCAGACCACAGCAAGCGGCTGAGCCGTGCCAAAGCAGGGAGTCCGCTTTCGAGCCCCCCCCCCGCCCCCGTGCCAACTGCCTCTGCGGCTGGCCTTCCACCGGCGACTGTGTCTGCGCGGCTCGGCCACCAGTGGGCGGCGTTGCGCGCCTGGAGGCCGCAGAGCCCGTGGCGGGTCGCGCTTGGGCCGGCTTCTGGCTTCCTTTCGCGCGGCTATTAATAGCGGGAGCGCGGCGCTCGCAGCCCGGGCAGAGACAGGCAGGCTGCGCTCGCGGCAAGAACGGCACGGAGCTCGCCATGCCCTTCTTTCGGGACCCAGCCAAGCCGCAGCCCGTCGAGTTCCACGCCGAGATCCTGCTCGGCGCGCCGCCCCGGGGGCTTCGGCTCGGCGTCAGCCTGCAGCGGCGGCACACCATGAAAGAGTAGGTCGCTCGGGCCGGAGAGAGGCTGGTGCGCCAAGCTCCCCAGCTGGGCAGGGGCGCTTTTGTCGGATGGGGGCGGCCGGATGGGGGGCGCATTGCTGTCCTGGTTGCTTGGCTTGCCTGTGAGCCTGTGCAGAGTGCCCTTTTCTCACCCGTCAAAACTCTCTGTTTAACGACGAAGGTCTTTCAGAAGACTTCGGGTTCCTTAGTCTTGCTCTCGGATGCGGGTTGTTGTTTGACGGGAAGCGCTCTGCTTATGCCCAGGCGCTTTGTGCCTTCTTGCGCTGGTAGCCCCTGCTAAGCGTGCCCAGCTTGGTTTAGACTGAGGATGCCTTTTGGGGCTGGCTGGCACCGTTTTTCAAGGGCAGTGCGGGGTGGGGGGGGGAGGCAGGAGTTAAGTCTAATTAGCTTCCTGGCTCCCTTGTGGAAGTGCCGATGCCTTCTTTTCCTCCGCCACTAATCCGTCCTGGCTTGTGCTCGCAGGGCCAAAGATATGAAGAACCGTTTGGGCATCTTCCGACGGCGGAACGAATCTCCTGGAGGACACCCCCCAAGCAAACTGGACAAAGTCCCTAAGTCTCTGAAGTAAGTCTTGGGTCACCTGGGGCTTCTCTTTCCGAGGGAACAAGTAGAATGCATTTCACAGCTCCGGGGACTAGGCTTTTTGCTCTGCATGCTCCCCAAGTCCCAAAGAAGCAAAGCTGGGCTGGCACTTGCTTTGTTCTCAGAGTAGAGGACAATCTCCCTCCCCCTTCCCTATGTTGTTTGCGAATCGCCCCTCAATACTCTGCTGATAAATACCCAGTGCTTTGGCCGAGACTGCAGGAGCCTACAGCCCACACAGTCCTAAAGAGCTAGCCTGGGAGTCTTCCCCATTGTTTGACTTAAACCTGACTCTTTGCCGATGCTGCCTAGAGCTCTGAAGGGTTTTCTGGCAATCGGGTGAACTGGCCTGGATGGGGCAGATTTTGGCCCAGTTCAGAACTTCATGAGGTTTTTAAAACTTTTGAGTGCTTTTGTATTTTTCTTGGGGAGGTTTTTTTTTTAAAAAAAAGATGAGAATTTTCAGAGGTTTTTTTTTGCAGTATTCACTTTTACACCTTGGTTTTTATAAAACTCGGAATATTGATAAGTGCATGTCTGGAAAGCTAAGCATTTAGGGGAAAGAAGAATTCCAAAAGTGAACATTTGGGGGGGGGGAAGACAGGAGAACACATGTTCAGTTTTGTGTGCAAGGGTTTGATAATCTTTCTCTGCAAGAACTCTTTTCTTGGAGGGGGTATTGTACCTGGTGTGGGTGGGATATTTTCTTCCTTCCGCCTGCCATTCCAGTCTCTCTTTCAAACCAAGCGGTCTCTCCCCCCCCCCCATAGGCCGACTGTGGAAGAAGCCCTCAAATGGGGAGAGTCCTTGGAAAAGCTGCTTCAACATAAATGTAAGGATCTTTGGTTCTGAACCTCGTTTGAAATAGACAAAGAACCTGGTGGCAGTTTAAGAATGAACAAACTTCATTGTGGCAAAAAGTCTTTTGAGAGCCAGAACTCACTTTGCTTTGTCAGATGAGTAAGGTTAGCAGATGTCAGACTGCAGTCCCATCTGGGCAAAAGTTCTAGCAATGGCAGACGTTTCCAGGAAGCTCTTAAATGGAGGGGGGGTAGGGAAATAGCCCTACCCCCCCTCCATTTATACCCAGTATGTGATGTTCAGAAGTATGCTGTCTTTGCATATGGAAGTTCCCTGTTAGAGGCAGTTACTATGTATCTAGTAGAGGGGCTGTGGCTCAGTGGTAGAGCATCTGCTTAGCATATGCAGAAGGTCCCAGGTTCAATCTCCAGCATCTCCAGTTAAAAGGAACGGACCGTAGGGGATGTGAAGGACCTCTGTCTGAAACCCTGGAGAGCTGCTGCCAGTCTGAGCAGACAGAACTGACTTTGCTGGCCAGGGGTCTGATTCAGCATAAGGCAGCTTCCTGTAGTCATATGTAGAGGGATACCTTTTCCCCCATGGGTTGGGAGGTGTGCCCCAAAGGATAGCGGGACAGGGCTGTTGGGGAAATGTCCCTCGTTCCAAGCGGTTTCTGCTTTGGATTTCAAGGCTATGCCTCCTTCCTTCCAGATGGTTTGGCGGCCTTTCGTGCCTTCTTGCGCACGGAGTTCAGCGAGGAGAATCTGGAGTTCTGGCTGTCCTGCGAGGACTACAAGAAGATCAAATCCCAGTCCAAGATGACATCGAAAGCCAAGAAGCTCTTTGCAGAATACATTGCTATCCAGTCTTGCAAAGAAGTGAGTGTCGGAATGCAGGGCGGCAGCGGTGGGGATGAAGCAAAGCAGGTGTCTTGCTCGGGCAGAGTGAACTTAAATTTATTCACAAGGGAGATCCTTCTATTCCCTCTCTCCCAATCCTTTGTCTAGGATATGTGAAGTAATACAAACGCCAGGCCGTATAACAACAATTCTATCCCCCCCCCCCAATAATGACAACTTCTGCACCCACTCTGCAGCTCTTGTTTGAGCCTCAGGACAGTTCCAAGGTCATCATAAAGTGTGTCCAGATGTACTTTGGGTTACAGAATGTGGTGACACCCAGGGGGCTCACCTGAAGGCCTTAATGCGCGTTATGTTTTCTTCACAATCTCCCGGAGTCCTGTCAGCCGGCCATGCACCCCAGGCCGGTTTGAGGTAGGGAAAAGGGCCCGTGGAGAGAAGGGTGAGATGCCCTCTCCTTGTGTGCTGCAGTCCCACTCCTAGTTGGGCCCCTGTGAGCCTGGGAATTTGGTTCTGAGCACAGGACTTTCAGGACTCAGGGAGGATGTGAGGAAACACAGTGTATACTTGGGCCCTCCGTCTGGAGCTGGAAAGAGTACAGTTCACAACTTTGGTGAAACTTCAAGTTTGAATTTGTGGAAACCCAGACACCTCTCTTTGAGACTGAACGTTGATTTAATGTATCCGTCTAAATTGGCGTCGCATAGAAAGCCTCCCCCCTCCCCAGTTTTGTTTTGTTTGCTTGGGAGCCTCTCAAGACCCCTTTTGTGGGCCTCACTGGTGAATTAAGAGGCAGCCATGCAGAAAGGAGGCATCTCTCTCTACATTGTGTACATCTAAGCTCGGGTTTTCTGCCACTTCACCTGCCATGGTTTTCCCAAGTATTCTGGGAAACAGAAGTTAGTGAGGTAAACAAGGAGCCCTGTGATGCCTCAAAGGCCAACAGGTTTATTGTGATGGAAGTCTTCATGGACTTCATCAGATTCAAAAGCGTCTGCTGCACCAAACTCGTTAGTGTTAGAGGTGCTGCAGAAATCCGTGTTTGTTTGTGCGGCAACAGATTCTCCTGGCTGCACTGTAAAAGCGCTGCATTCGAGATCCGTGGCACCCATTCCTTCCCTCAAGAGGACTAGAATTCCCAGGGCTCCCTTGGAAGAGAGAATAAATGCTTGCCCAAACTGTGGCAGCTGTGGAAGAACAGACAAAAGAGCCTACCCTGCAGGACACAGCAAGTCGGTCAACACCACCATCGCCTTGCTTGCCTGTCTCCAGTTTGCTGTTCTGCCAAGCAGCCAGCTCGCTTCCTTTCAGAACTCCTGCTGCTGTGGGCTTGAAACAGGTGTAGCTGCCATTCTCTCTTCCAAGGAAGCCCACTCTGCTTCCATCTGAGAGGGGGCTAGCTGGCTGCCTGGCAGAGCAGCAGGTTGGAGACGGGCAAACGAGCGGATTGGTGGCATTGACCCAGGCACCGTGGCCTCCTGAGTAGGCTCTCGTGTCTATTGTCCCACTGCTGCCACAGGTTTGGCCAGTATTTGCAGCACCGAGATCGTAGTGGAGCATGTGTGCACAACATCGGCCAGGGTGCTTTGGTTGCATCCCCTTCAGCTCTGTGCAAAAACTGTGTGCAGCCAAACAAGATGTGAACTGGTGTTTCCTCTTGCTGGTTCAGCTGTTCCATCCACATCTGTCCGCCTTTCTGCTGCAGATCTAGAATTGACATTATGGTGTCTGCTCTTCTGCCTCGGTAAAGTAACCGATCTGTCTTTTTTTTTTTTTGGCATCTGCTTTTCCAGGTTAACCTAGACTCCTATACTCGGGAGCACACCAAAGAAAACATGCAAAACATTACCCGGAGCTGTTTCGATCTTGCCCAGAGACGTATCTATGGGCTGATGGAGAAGGACTCGTATCCCCGTTTCCTACGCTCAGAGCTGTACTTGGAACTGATTAACCAGAAGAAGCCCAGCCCTGTGTTGTAGAGAGGATCGGGGCCTGCTTCTCCAGGAAGACTGTATGGGAGGTGTATGTTTACATATGAGTGGCGGCTGCCTTCCGGTAGGGGACTGCCAGGACATGGAAGCCATATCTGCCTCTGGAAGGGAACTGGGGTTGGAGAGCTAAGTAGTTGGGCACCATCCCATCCTGGAACTGCTTTGGGTTGTTTTTTGTTTTTTTTCCTCTCTGGTACGACACTGTCCTAGTGAACAGGGCTAAGGGTCCGTGATCCCACCAGACCACTGTGAAGGTCAAAGCTGTCTTTCCCCTTCCGACACCCTGGAGATGGCTTGAACACAGGGACCCCACATGGAACCAGATGTCTTTCGTGGGCAGGTGGGCAACATTGCCGTTCCTTCCCAAAGTATCTCTTGGTGATTCAAAGTAGACAAAGGAAGGCTCACAGATTGGGAAAGATCAGCTCTTCAGTATCTCTGCTCTCCTCCTTGTTGTGTGACTCGACCGGCAGACCAACTGCTTCTGTCTTTCTCCTTCCCCTGCCCCGAATCATTTGTCTCCAGGGTTATTTATTGAACTGTTCCAGCCGGATGCACAACCAGTTGTGTCTGGGAGACTTTGTCAACTTCCTTAAGTCCCCCTTCTCTTTTTTTTTAAATTTTAAGTGCAATATCTTTTGTTTCGTTTTTAATGTGTGTCCTGTTGGAGGGGGGTGTCTGGCCGTGGAATGGATGTGGATTTTGAGTATGTTCAGCGCCTTTTGTTTTAAACTGTCTTGAGTCCTTCCTGAATGTGTCCCACCCCAGCAGCAGGCAGCTGGGAGATTGTTAAATGGGGGAGAGGGGATATGCAGAATATCATTGCGGTGGCAAACTTTGTATAGATAAATCCAGCTGTATAAATCTCTGTGCAGTGTAAGTCAGGTTGGGAGAGGGTGTGTGAGAAAGCTGTGTGTGTGAGTGAGAGAGAGAGGGTGTGTGTGTGTGTGTGTTTATACCTGCTTGGTAGCGTTTGGCCCAGAAGGACTCTTATCTGTTCTTCCTCTAAGGAGTCTGCCAGACAGTCTCTTGGCCAAGTGCCTGGTTTACAATTCAGAACCATCTCTGCAGTTAGTAAAAACAATTTTTTTTGGGATGTCATGGCTATTTAGGATAAATAAAGAGATGATAGAACAACTTCTTGGCTTCCTCACTTCTTCCTGTTTTCTCCCCTCCCTCCCTTCCTCCCTCCTCATTTATTTAATTTCAAGGGCCGTCCCTGGCCTTTGGCATCTGGGCTCTGTACTTGGTGAATCGCTCATCGAAATAAGAGAGCTTTTCTCCCCACATATAGTTTTGGAACAAGTGGAGGACATGCCACTGCCTCTTCCACTTCCAGCTATAGGAGGGCTGGTTTTGGTTATTGTAGGGGTAGATACTCCGTACATGCTCAAGAGACGCCTTCTCTCTTGAAGCTCAAGCGTCATAGCTGGGTTCTGGCATAAAATGTAAGTGACGGCAAAATACATGCCATGGAGGAGTTTAAGGTAAGCCTTCCTCGTGTTTCTTTCTGCCCAGCCCAGGCCTTGAGCAGACCTTTACTTTGGGGCCTTTTAGGGAAGTCCCATTAATCCTCATTGAGTGAAACTGGCTAAGCCTTTGTCTGTTGGTGGCTGAAGGGAGCAGCTGTTGAAGGGATGCCTCTCCCAGCCTGGCTCCAGCTGCTCTGCTTGGCCAGAAGCAGATCCAAGCATGTCCCCATGGCCAGCCTCCATCCCCCTTGGGCTCGACCAGGAGGTGGCTATCAGCTGCTTCCTCTTGTCCACAGTTGGTCTGGCGACAGCTGCGTGGAGTTAATGGGACCTCAGGAAGAGCCCGTGCCCCTCTTCTGAGATAGTCCCCTGGCTTGGGACATTAAGCAGGTTCTTCTCAAGAGCTACCACAGCAGTTGTCCGTCCTTCCATGTCAGTGCCCTCGCTTTTCCGTGGCTGACCTGGGCTTGTTCTCTTTCCTTCTGTTCTGGTTGGCATTCTGAGCATTCTCCTGCCCCTGAGTTGGTAGTGATGGGGAGGCACGAGTGTATTTTGCAAGCCGTTTTTAAAGAACCCCTTTTTTGGATTGTGCCCTAGGTGTGAAGGCAAGGAAAGTGAGGATGGGAGCTATCTGATTTGAGAGATCTCTCTTGATTTTTTTTGGCATAAAGTATCTGTACTGCCGGCCACACTATGGCTCTCCCTAACGGAGCTCACAATCAACGTGGCACCCCTACATGCACTTATTTTAGACCTCTCCAAATAAAAGCAAGGCGGTCCCAGAAATCTGAACAAGTGCTGCCTGAATGTCACCTCGTAAGGCCAATAGAGATGTGACGAAACAGGCATCCCTTGGAAGGAAATTCTGCAATCTCGTTGCTATCACTGAAAAGGCCCTGTCTTGTCTACCCCTCCCCCGGCATGGATGGTGGATCACAAAACCTGGCCTCCAGTAATGTCCTGGGTGTGTGGGTAGGGCTCAGTTAGACCTTTAAAGGTCAAAGCCAATGCCCTAACCTGGGTCGGCTGGCTCACTTTCAGACCTGTCTAAGACTTATTCTAGTTTGCTTGGAGCCGCTTGCCCCTAATAATTTCCTCCCTCTTGTGATCTGGACCAGCAGCTGTTTCCAAGCTAATCCAGATGGGATGTCGCAAAGGCACAAGTAACAAGCTAGCTAATTCTTGTCTCGGAAAGTCCAGAGACAACCCGCTAGCTTAAGCTGCCTGAAAAGCACACTTTGGCAGTGATGCCCCCTGGACAGCTACAAGCAGCACTGTATCTGAGCTGGGACCCCTAGTGAGGCTTGGACATTTCAGAGAGCAGGCTTACTATTGTCTGCCCCTGCGTCCCAGCCCTGGAATTCCCTGGTATTCCCAAGTACTTGCCTGGCTCGGCCCTGCTTAGCTTCCGAGATCTGATGAGATCAGGCTTGCCTGGGCTGTCCAGGTCAGGGACCCAGAGCCTTAAGGACCAGTCTGGCCCCTTCAAAGTGTGCACCTACTGCTGGGTCAGCATTCCTTACAGTCACTTTTAGCTTGTCTAGATTAACTTTATTCAGCCCCTCCCACATGTCCACCATGGACTTTGGACAGTTCAGCATTCCTCTGCCTCCCCAGACTGAAGGAAAGGAGAGAGGCAACTGGGTGTTGTCTGCTGCATACTTATGGTGCCCTATTTAAATGCTACTGCCCCGGCTGCCTTGAAACGGCACCTCTGTAACCTCACGTGTGCAAACTACTTTGTGCGGACTTTGGTCTAACCAAGAGGCAGTGTCTCCTGTTCTCTGATGGGTGAAGAGGTTCTGCTGTTAATTACTGGAAATTCCCGGATTTCCCCTATATAAAAAACCCTGCCCATTTAAGGCTGTGATCAGTGTTCCCTCAAAGCTGAGTTAGTGTGAGCTAGCTCACAGTTCTTTAGCCTCTGGCTCACACATTTTTGTCTTCGCTCAGGAAGGAGGGCTCCAGAGCAAACTAATTTATGCAGCAGCCAAATCGCTCGCTCACAGCTTTAATGCCAGGAGCTCAGAAAGTAGAATTTTTGCTCACAAGACTCCACAGCGTAGAGGGAGCATTGGCTGTGATTCACACCTTTAATGGTAATATTTTCTGCCTTTCATTGCAATTTCCAAAGTGACTCACAAATAGGTTAAACATCTGTCAATAAACACCACAGAAAAATACACAAATCAACCAATTCAAAAGCAGCAGCATACTCAGGGGCAATCCTAAGCAGAGTCGCACTCTTTTTAGTCCATCGAAGACAACGGGCTTCACTTCAAAAGGTGTAGCTCTGCTTAAGACTGTCCTGAGCCCACTCATGGGAGAGGGTGGGATATAAATTACATTGTTAATAATATTGTAAAACATCGAAAGCCATTGGAAACAGCAATATCTTTGCCTGGTGCCTAATATGTTGGCTCTGGCCAAGCAGATGCAGGAGAGGAGTCATTCAGGTAGTCCCGCCACTGGAAAGGCACTGCCCTTGGTAGCTGCCCGCCTAACCTGCGAAGGTGAGGATACACAGAGGCAGGCCTCTTAGAGATCTCTGCCATCTACATTCATGTAAGAGCAGGTCATCCTTTGGAAACACCAATTAGATGTTTAGGACTTCATAGGTCAAAGCCAGCAATTTTTGACTTGTGACTGGAAACACACATGGAGTTCCAGTAGCACCTTAAAGACTAACTGAATTTGTGGAGGGGTATGAGTTTTCCTGAGTCATTGCTCACTTCTTCAGAGCACTGACTCACGAAAGCTCCTACCAGAAGTTTTGTTCATCTTTTTTTTTAATCATCTTTATTAATTTTAATTTAACATACAGTGCATTAAGCAAAGATACAGTGTAACACAGTGCATCCAACTACAGCAGTAGTCTCTAAATGGAGAGATTCGAACATACAGGGTTAACCATTTGGGATAGAGAGGGTTGGGGGGGGGAGAATGTCTAGGGCTTGTAAGTAGGAGACAACAGGGTACCAGGTTGACACAAACTTGGAGAGATGTGGTGTGTCTGATTGTGAATTCTTGAGTGAATCAGAAATTTTTGCTACTGGACTCTTACTCTTTTCTCCTGCTACAGACAGACTAACACGGCTACCCATCTTAATAGAGATAAGATACCGTCGTCACCAACAGGGCTTTTCTTGTATCATTAGCATAATAGGCCACACACAACAGCAAAAACTTATTAGCATATTAGGCCACACCCCATGCCTTCCCTTGGCTTGCACGGGTGCCCCACAGCTGCTGGGAGCCCGGGCAAGCCGGCCCTTGGACAGGCCGGGGAAGGCAATCCTTCCAGCCCCCCCCCCGGCCTGCCCACCTCGGAGTCGCTGGGGGGGTCCGCTTTCCAGGCCTTTCCTCTGGGGCCACACACGCAGAGGTTTTGGCTGTAGTGGGCATGGCCAGCTCTGAAGCAAGCTGGAACTTCATTCCTGTGCGTTCCTGCCCAAAAATAGCCCTGGTCACCAATAGATCAGATAGTCAACATGGCCTCATCTGCAGATTGGGGCCACACTGACAGAAGGGAGATTGTTCTCTAAACTTGAGGACCTGCTGTGGGTTTGTACAAAGACCCGAAACCTTTAAAAGGGGGGTTTCTACTCAACAATTGCCTCCTGGGAGCCTCCCCTCGCTACCATTGAGCCAGCCTTGCTGGAGTCATCTGGTGGCTTGTGCCCCCAGCTGCTAAGGCATCAGTGCTTGAGGTGGGCTGGTGGGCAAGGCTGGGGTGAGCCTCTGCTGCCTCCCCACTGTCCACCCTCTTCTGCTGGGCTACGGGAATGCTGCAGTGAGGAGAAAATGGAAATGCTGCAGGGAGCGAACCACCCTGCAAATTTCTTGGGACATGAGGAGAGCCGGGGGAGTGGAGAGCTGTTCGGCAAGTGGTTGGCCCAGCAGTGAGACAGTAGGATGGGATGCTACCCCCCCCCCAAGTCTCCTGGGTACCCACTTGTCCCTTCTGATATTTCTAATTAACAGCCTCACAGATGAATTCTGCTGGACCAGCTGAAGTTTCCAAGCAGACTCCCAAGGCAGCCCTACGTATAACTCATTGTGGCAATCTAACCTGGTTATGACCAGAGTATGGATAGCTGTGGCCAGATTCCAGGCAAAGAGCTCCTGCCGCCGAACTGACGGGAGCTGGTTTCCCGAAGGCGTGTGACGCATGTCCCTTAGTGACTCATGGCTTGATGACTTCAGCTGAAATGACAATTCAGCGGTCTGCAATAGGATGATGAAGCGCCATCATTGCTTCCGCTGTCATTGAACAGGGAACAAGCATCTGTGATTCAGGCAGAGGTTTGTTTATCTGCAATATTTCCATATTGCTTTTTATCTTTTACGTTTCCAAAATGGTTCAGAGAATAAAAACAGTAGAACAGGGCAGAAGCCTGGCAGAAGAAAAAAGTGTTCCTCTCCTGCAAAACATGGGAAGTGAAGGGAAATGTAAGTCTTCAGGGAAAGCGTCTTCAGGGAAAGCCCTGCTTAGAAACCCCCTGTGGCCAATATGAGTTTAATAATACCGTCCTACCTTGGAAGGCCGTTGAAAAGATTACTGATCTATGACAAGTACTCTTGAGTGCTATATAAATGCTGTCTATTCATAG